TCTGAGGATAGTCCTGAAGACTTTGCTGAGTATTCTCAGTGTTTTTTCCTGTGCTGGGGATTGACTTAACTGCTTCCTCTGGTCTGACAGTTGGCTGCATTTTTCATTACGCTGTTTGTGGTGGTCAGCTTTGTTAGAGCACTTATCAAATTTTATGATAATGTCTCGCTATTTTTGTTGAAGCCATCCTCCACGTAGTCTTCATTTCGGCACAAGTCACTGATTGTCAATTGCTTACATGCCAAATTACATAGTTCGCTAACTGTGTTTGCAGGCGGTTGCTCCATTATTTTTAGATATTGGCCATCCCGACATTACTTTAATGAACAGTCTATTCACTCGATCGTAAAGATTTTCATTTACAGCATCGAGCCTCTCTTGACTCTGGCTCTTTCCCCTATTAAAACAGTCTGTTTTGATTGCCGCATCGGCTGCTGCTGGGTCGATTGGCACGATGACCGGTAAATTGGGCGTTGGGTAGGCTCGTTTTGCCTCATTTGTCAGACTTACCAGATAGTTTTCTGGTGTATACTTCTTCGGATCGACTCGTAGCTGTTTTAGTTTCAGCCCATGCACCTCTTGCAATTGCTTGTTGCGGAAATGATCTCGCAAGGCTACTACACTGGCTGGAACATCCGCTCTCGTCAATTATGGTAACGTTTGCTAGAACCTAAGAGCGTCGTCTCTTAAATGCAACTGCAGAAAATTCGCCTGTTATGCCGCTGCTTTTGCTGCTACTCCCATGTATATCCAAGGAAGAGCTGTTTGAATTGGGCGAAGTATTCTTTCTGGGTCCACTCGAAAGGTTCAACTGAGATTTGTGCAAGGCCCATCTCGGAGCAGTCAAATGATTGTCAGATATGATTCAGTCTTTGATTTCAAATAACAAAGCACCAATTTAAAGTGAATGGACATTTGAGTTTGAAGAACTCGAGGTTCTACTCTCAGTGATTCTAGAAGCCTCTCGAGCTCTTGGCCCTTACGAGTAAGAGTTATTTAACTCTAATTAGTTATAATTTCAAGCTTTCTCCGCTTTTCACATACCTTTCCTGTTGCTTTAATATTTTTCTACTGATTTTTCTATTTGAGTTTGAATTTAAGCACTGGTAAGTCTGGATGGTTATCACGAATGGTTAATTTTGTCTGGTTTCAACGTAAGATGTTCATCAACTCAATTTAAGCTCCGTAAAACAAGAGTTTAAGTTTAACTAACTATTTTTGATCACTGAATCACTTTCGTTGAGACTTGTAGCAAATGTGGTAGTTGTCACTGGCACACCAGAACCAGAGGGTAGTTTCCTGAGATCACACTGCTGTTTTCATTTATTGGCTGTAATCAGTTTTCTTTTTTGCTGTTTGAGCAAGAAACTGCCGCGAACTTTGTTTCAGCGTCTGCGGGACGGTGGAAGTCGTCTTGATATAGGTGCTGAGGACACTCATGTCTCAGTCTTCAACGAAGCTTGGTAACATCACCCACTAGATGTCACCATATAATATTCCATTGATGGCTATTGTAAATTAGAATATGAACGTTTTTTTTTTCAGATAAATTGTATTTTTACTTGACTGATGTCGTGTTTGGCTGAACGTTACAGTGACTTCACTTCAGGGATGCTCTTCGTGATGGTTACCATCTTCTTAACTAAGCTGAACTAAGTTTAAAAAAACTAAGAGTCTCAACTAAGCTTTCAAAAAAAGTGAGTTTTATTACTTCAATTAATCTTTTCAGAGCTCACAGTTTTTATGGCCTTCTCTAATATTTTGCTGCTCTCTCAATTAGAGCATGAATCTCAATTAGAATATGAATGTTTTTTTTTTCAGATAAATTGTATTTTTACTTGACTGATGTCGTGTTTGGCTGAACGTTACAGTGACTTCAATTCAGGGATGCTCTTCGTGATGGTTACCATCTTCTTAACTAAGCTGAACTAAGTTTAAAAAAAAACTTAGAGTCTCAACTAAGCTTTCAAAAAAAGTGAGTTTTATTACTTCAATTAATCTTTTCAGAGCTCACAGTTTTTATGGCCTTCTCTAATATTTTGCTGCTCTCTCAATTAGAGCATGAATCTCAATTAGAATATGAATGTTTTTTTTTTCAGATAAATTGTATTTTTACTTGACTGATGTCGTGTTTGGCTGAACGTTACAGTGACTTCAATTCAGGGATGCTCTTCGTGATGGTTACCCTCTTCTTAACTAAGCTGAACTAAGTTTAAAAAAGAGTCTCAACTAAGCTTTCAAAAAAAGTGAGTTTTATTACTTCAATTAATCTTTTCAGAGCTCACAGTTTTTATGGCCTTCTCTAATATTTTGCTGCTCTCTCAATTAGAGCTCTCTCTTGTTTGCGTAAAATAAATCCAATTCAGCAATTAGACATTTATGGAGCATTGACGTTTATCTAATTAACAGCTCATTTCTCCAATTAAGGTAACAACAAATAAATACCTAACGTAGGTGTTACGCTATGTTACATTGTGAACTGTACCTATACTTAAAACAAAATACTTACGGGAAGAAAACCTTGTAATCGGCTGAGTGTAAGACTCGAATCTGCGACCTACTGCAAAAAAAAAGATAACTTGAGTCTCACACACTATCCTCTCAGCCACGCAAGCTTAACATCCGACAAACACTAGCCACGAATAAAGCAGCTACATATGCTAATAATTTGCCAATGCAATTCAGCAAAAGTGGCACCAAATACAAATACATTCCAATTTGCAAGTAACAATTAGGACAGTGATGCGTTGCGGAGCTTCCCGCCACTTGCGATAAAATACAAACATAAAAAACATTAGTCTAAAAAAATTTAGACATTGAAAAAAACTAGGTGAACTAAATACGTGATACGTGTTTGATATTGAACGACCGAATCTGCCGTACCGATGCGGCAAGAAAAGTGTGATTTGAAAAACTGGACTTTGCCTAAAGCTTTGGTTGTTTCTCTACTAAAATAAGTAAGAAAATTTGAGATAATCAATTTTCCCAAGATGATTTTCGCTAACAAAAAACTGAAGATTCACCGCCATTGCAGAAAAAATTATCGCGACCCATTCTTTTATTGGAACTTTTAATCTCAAACTTGATTGTATAAATTATATGAGAACTCAAAGTTTCCAAAAAATGGTAGAAAGTTCTAAAAAAAACGTTGAAAGACTTTCCAAAATCCATATAACTTTTCTGCAAACAGCAGGTTATAGCCGCTTAAGCAGAGACAATTTCCAAAGCCGGGACTATTAATTGAACACAACCTGAGAATTGGACATTAGTTTTCGCGCAGTCAATAAGTTTCCAAAAAATGTCAAAGATTCAAAACTTTGACTTGTTTGAAGGCCATAACTTCTTTCTTCAACCAACTCGCGAAGCCAATTTTAAAGGTACGCTTTCACTAACCTGTCTGTTCGATTAAACCTGTAAGATCAGATTTGGCAGGATAATTAGCGAGAAAAATCCAGAAATCTCAAATTAGGGAGGGTACTTTAAGAGAAAAGTCAAAATTTTTCAAAAAAAAAAACGATCACAAAATCAAAACTTTTACTTTTTGAAAGGCCAAAACATTGGGAGACAAAAAATGGGCAAAATCGCATGAGCTTCCGGAAAGCCGTACTGAGAATTGAACCCAAAATCTCGGGAACCCAAAATCTCGAGAGTTCAAAAATTAAAAAAAACGGTCAAAATCAAAAGTTTGAACTTTCAGAAGACAATAAATTCTGGTGTAAATTTTTTTGTTAGTTTCCGCAAATGCAGAGGAGCTTCCCACTACTCGTTATCTCCTTGAACCCAAAATCTCGGATTTGACAGGTTAGTTTTCGAGAATAGTCAAAAAGATTCACAAAACGGTCATAAAACAAAAAATTGACTATTCCAAGGGCCATAACTTCGCGTGCAAAAAAATGGTATTTGGTCGTAGCTACTTATGCACGGGAGCTTCTCAAAACAGTTTAAATCATTGAAACGAAAAACTCATATTTGAGAGGGGTAGTTTGAGAAAACGAAAAATAAAAAATATGGGTAAAATAATCAGCCACATTTTTCTCGAAGGCTGTAGACAGAGGGGTCAAGTATAAAAAAACTCTAGGAAAATACGCAGGGAGACAGATGAATAAGCGGTTCTGAATTGATACTCTAATTTTGAAAATCAAACAAAGTTTCTGAGAAAAACTTAAGATTGAAAAAATTTAAAACAGAAAAAATTTCCAAAACGAAAACGAAATTTCAACAAACCTATTGGTAATCATACAACCAACTTGAGAAGTGCGTATGGGATTGCTGAAATGAAACCACCAAAAATAAGGTCATAATTCCCATGAAATATAGGCCGAAATAATTTTGGCCCAGGAAATTTTTTTTAGCAAAACAAAAAAAACTAAGGAAATACGAAGTCAAGGAAAGTGAAGTTACAAAATGTAGGCGTAAGTCAAACAATAAAAACATCAAAGAAAAGTGCGCGCAGAAAAAACAGGTCCATGATTTGACAACTAATTCGATAACAGATTAGCACACAAATAATTGGCCGAAAATTTTATTTGGAACAGAATAATAAAAAAAATCAGTCCTGGTCAGATTTGAACCCAGGAACTTGGCCGTTTCAGGCATATTCGTTACCTCCAGGCTAAGGTGGCCGGAGACGCAAAGAAATTTGAAGACATTAGGAAACGAGGTAGAGATTAGTCCAGATGAGTCCTGTGGACAAAGTTGTTTACAGAAAAACAGCCTAGTATCCGGTTGCAATACCCTTGCATATCGAAAGGGTAAAAATAACAAACTGAAGGCATCCACACTAACTTTACATGTGATATTGAGTAAGAAAATGTCTGAAATCGAGTTTTCATGATTGTTATGTTGTTTGGAACAAATCATTTTTTCGGTTCATTTGATAAATTAAAAATGCATCAACTGTGTTAACTTATTACATTTCGAATGTCAAAGCACATACTAAGAAAAAGCTCTAAAAGTGCCCCAAAAGTAGCACCAATATTTGCGAGTTAGGTTGGAAAAAAGGTTCGTACTAATACACTCGCTTCGCAAAAGTACAGAACAGCTCAAATCTTTTTTACATTTAGTTTCTACTATAAAATTCTTTTTGCTCAGCTCTGCATTATTAATCTTAATCATTTCCAATTTATTCGAGGAAGCGGTTAAGTATCCTCGATTTCTATTTCAGCATAGTAGACGTCAATATCTGTCGAATCACCGCAGGAATATCCTTGGTGTCCAGGCATACAAATGCACTCTGGGAGGGCAACTGACTCTTCATCATCTCTGCCTCGTCTCCGAGTGATCCGATGAAGATGAAGGAGTTCACTCGTTCTTTCTCACTCAGCATCTCTCGTGCTAGTCTGGAGGGACTGATTCCGTAACGAGAGAAGTTGGCATCCGAGAACAGAATAAGGAATCTAAATACAAGCAAATTACACTTAGGCTAGCTCAAACATAACTACACCGCTTCTGTATCTAGTTAATAAAATAGTTATTCAAATTAATTATCTCAGGAATGAATATGCACTCACTTTCGAGCACTTATCTTCTTTTTGAAAAATCGGCTTTCAATTTTGGTAGCCCCAAAAGAGTTTTCAGTCATAGTCAACATACAGATAAAAAAGAGTCATGTACGCAAGGAAACAGAAAAAAAATACTCACTTAATCTTAGAAAAAAATTCAGCTTACCACGTACAAAGTAAAAAGATAAGTCTTTGAATTTCTGGAACAATTTATGATTGACACTTTTTTGACAAAATTAGTCCAATTTGAGATATCTGGATCGATAGGTTAATCTTTTACTCCGCCGAGAACCAGAAAATTAAATACCAATTTCGAAACTAGAAGTCGACCAAGTTTTTCATGACTTTAGTACTTTTGCTGTTCGATAGTGGAATTAGTACTTTTGCACGAGCGCAGAATAGTGTGATTGTCGCATACTGTTCGATTTTAGTACTTTTGCTGTTCGATAGTTGAATTTGCCTTCCTTTAAACAAAGGAAGTGAATTAAATTTAAAAAAGCAAAAGACTAACGCGAAAAAGTGAGTTTGAGCCAAAACAAATTTTATGACTTTTCCCGAAAAAAAGACGAAAAACAAAATCATCGTGACCTATATAAGAGCCGATATAATTTCACCCGACATAAAATAATATAGGCCGAAAAATTTTTAGCCGAAAAGAAAAGAATTAGAAACAAATTCTAAACAAGTTATGACTAATAAAAATTCCCCCTCACCCTCAAATCACATACACACAAAAAAATTTCGCTTGTCGAAAGACGCAATATGAGGCAATTAGGCCAATTTTATGTAGGCCGAAACCTATCAAGCGGAACAAAAAGGAAAAAACACAAAAAAGCCGGAAAAAAGTCATGAAAAACTATGAAACCTATTACGTTTTTCAACGATCAAAAATAGGTCAATAAGCCAATAAAAACGCCGAAATCTTTTAGGCAGAATTAACTTTATAACCAAAAAAAAACAAAAACCATACACATACAAATTCAAGGTAGTTATAATTACAAATATAAGAAAACAATCAAAACACTAAAAACAACTACAATGTAGCTTGTGTACAGCAAAAAAAAAACAGTGTGATATGGCATAGATTTGTCGACAAAACAAAAGCAGACAAATAAGCCCACATTTTTTTTGAGACGGCTTATTTCCCGTTTGAAAAAAAAAACAGGTCCTGCCAGATTGGAACCCAAGACCTTAACCGTCCCAAGGTACCTCCAGAACAGGTGTACCGGAAACGCGAAGAAAAGTGAATTTCTTATGAACTGAAACTAAATTTACCTTTTCTAATTTTGAGCACTCTCTGAGCAAAGTTATTTACGGAAAAAAGTCTTGTATCAAATTGCAATATCCTCGCTTATCGCATGGGTAATTATACTGTTGTATGAAAAAAATAGCTTTTATCGTTTCGAGTAATAAATTTAAAAAAGCAACAACTGTGCTAGCTTATTACTAATCAAATGTCAAAGCACTTGGGATTACTGCTAATTTAGCCTACCACTTCAAAAATGCCCCACCAAAGATAGCACTTTTATTTTCGTTTAAAAGCAGCAATTCGATGCCATGGCCGGTATTGTAAAATCTCGATTTCAATGGTTAAAAGCGGTAGCAAACTCCCTTCCATTTCAGGGATTAGACTCCCTGACTACCCAAGGGTTCCTCCTTTAGTACTATTAAAAGACCTTAATTTTTGGCCGGTTGACCCAAATATTTTTTTAAAGGCACCATTATATATTAACTTTGAAGGGGAAGCGCGGGCCGAGAAAAACGCAAATTTCTGGTCTAAATTGTCCAAAAAAGACCTAGAAACAGTTTTTTTTCAAAAATTTGCTTGCGGCAGAAAAAAATTGGCCATAGCAGGATACTTTTGGAGCTTTAGGTGAGCGCGGAAAATAAATTTGGTCGACCTATAAAAAATGTAGGTAAATTCTTCGATTTTTTGTTTGAAAATCCGCCCTTCTCAAAAAAATCCTATATCCAAATATTTCGCTTAAGATGTCTCAGAATCAAAACTACACATTATCAGAGAACTGATCGAAGACAATGATTTTCATATTTTCCATTACAATTTGTTAGACTCAAAACTCGTTGATTAAATACTCCGCAGTTCTCAAAAAATTAGAAAACGGATAAATGAAAACCACAAGACTAAATAATCTCAAATATTTATAGGTATGCAAAGATTTCTTAAACGCTTTACCCATATTGGGCAATGAACGATCAAAAAACACATCAGAACCTTGTTTGAGTGTTTCGCACAGAAATAAGTTAAAAACAACATGTACTGCAAAAAAAACGGCATAAAACTAATAACTTCAATTATATATCCGCATGCACAAAACTTCCAAATCAACTTTTAAACCAACATATACAGGAAAAATAGATAACAAAGCCAACAGACAGTTTGAAAATAGTCAGTGAATGCGAGGAAACAGAAAAAAACTGACTTTAAAAAAATCAATTTTCGAAAAAAAATCTATGGCCTTCCTCTTTGAATTTCAAGAAATTAAGATTGATCGTTTTTTTTTGGATAAAGTTAACTAAATTTGAGAAAACTGTATTCATAGGTAAGTTTTTTATTTCGCTGAGAAATTCAAAAATTAACTTTCACTTTCGAAACTAGAAGTCGTTGACGCTTTTTCGTGCCATTTCCACTTTTGTATTTGGAGAGTGCAGTTTGCCTAAATTTTAGCTGATGAATTTAAATTGAGTGCATGCATACCCAAGTGCTTTCATAAATTTATTAATTTATATAAGTGCAAATCTGTAGTTAGAAGTGTATTTTAAGACTAAAAAAACACGAAAAAAATCACCACGAAATTTATAAGAGTCCTCACTGCGTTTATCGGCTTTTAAAAAAGCGAGGCGGAAATAAGCTCGAAATAAATTCAGATGAAAACATCAAAAAAAACAATAAATAAGAATTTCAAAACTCGATAGCTGCAATTATCGTCGGCTTAAGATGAGCAATTAGAGCAAGTGAAGCCAAAACTGAACAAAGATAGCCTATTGCTGTGCAAAAAGCTTAGAGTGTTCCGACCATATTCTTGAAAAACTACAAAAAAATAAGCTTTTTTAAAAACCAATTTCAACTTTTTTGTGCGACGTGTGATGAAATGATCAGAAAGAAAGACTAAATGCTGGGCATCTCCGATACCCTAGGCTAGTAAAATGGCCATATTGATAAACAGTTTCCATCGAAACATGACTAAGGAAAAAAAAGATTTTTTTTTTGAACTTTTGAAAACTTTGAAACTTTATTTAATTAGATTAAGGGCTTGAATAAACAATTCATTGTTTGTTTACTACTAATCTGCGTCTGCGACTATCCTTCTAATAAGCCTGCTTGCACGGATTTCAACGAAAAATCGAAAACTTCAAACTGGTTTTTCTCGACACAGTCGGTTCGAATCACAACTGAAAGGGCTTTAATATGAAATATCACTCAAGCCAGTCCGATGATTGTTTGTGGTACCTGATTTTGCGAGGAAAAAAAGTAAAATACTCGAATACAAAATTCCTCCGCGTTTTCAATGGTCGGAACAAAAACCGAAAAAGTCGAGAAACAAATTTCTCAAAAAATCTGACTGAGACTCGAACTATCTCTCAGTACATAACAAATCTGAGATGTTGCTTATACTTGATACATGCATTTACCATCTGTAATTGCTTACATATTCTATGATTACCTGTTAAATTAATCGACATTAAAAATTTACAAGATCGATCGAAAATCTATTCAGCAGTCATGGAACTCGTTTACTTGCACTATTAGCAATTTAAGAAAAGAAAGTCTGCAATGGTAAAACTATTTACTCCTTCATGATAATTCAGTGCTGTGAAAACTAAGCCGACATTAAAACAATCCAATATTTAACTTAAATAAGCCGGAAATTTTCATCTGTTCAAAAAATACAGCTCATTTGGACGCGAAGAAAAATATGAAAATTGATACCCGATTGCTTTTCTCCAAATTTTTTGCTAATTTTTATGGACTTGAGAAGGTTTGAAACTAAGCGTTACGTATTAAGTAAACAATATTTGTAAGTAAACAATAATACCTGACCTTTCGTCCGCTTCCATCTTGGCCAAGTCCTTGACCGCCTTTGAACATGCAGCTACCGTCGAATCGCCAGACAGACAATACTGCGAATGAGCATGCATAGTCTGCAACACCCGCAGTCTCTCTTTCTCATTCGAGGGCGCATTGTCAAGTTTCACTATTTCCACTGAGTCGTCCTCTCCCGAGTGACCGATGATGTCGTATTTGAATTTGGACTCGTAGCCTTTCAGGGCTTCCATCACCATACATACAGATTCTTAAGAGAAGATTACATGCAAAACGTGATTCCCTTCTGCATTATACAGGTAACCCTTAAAAATAGTCCAATTTAGTCAAGCATAAATGCTGAAGCTACAGGACAACACGTCTACTTCAAAACTTGAAAACAAAAAAAAACGTCACTTGACAAACAGGTCGGAAGCTATATCATTTTCGATTCTTGTTTATTTGAGCAATTTTAGCCCAAAAGCGTTTCACGTTTCGCCAGGGTCAATTTTAATTCAAATGGGCGATGCATTTATCAGCTGTGATTTTATTGCGTTTCAATCTTCGCAGCTTTTTCATGGAAGTGTTGCTTATACATTTAAATCAAACGGGAGTATATCGTTAAAAAATACCTTACCTAACTGTCTCTGTAGTCTCTGGTCGTATATGTTGAACCGGTACATGCTGCCACTAACATCACACAACAGCCTCAACAACTTCGGTTTCTTCTGCTGCTGCCCTGGCAGAGGGTCTTTCTCCCCTCTCCTCTTGAACACAGACTTCTCCCCCAAAAGAGAGTCCACTAATTTGGTGTCGTCCAGTTCTCCCAGGGTCTGGTGTTTGAGCCACTCTCTGTCTTTCTGTTTGGCTTCCAAGCTGTCAATCACTACCCTGCAAAAAAACACAAAAACATAGATTTTTGTAAGCAATCGAATGTGCAGCTGGTGGTGAGCCTTTTCATCGAAATTTCTGAAAGCCAAAATAATACCTAAAGTAAAGAGCTCAATTCAGCTAGCCTCAAAAAGTTTCTAATTTAGGTGAAAATTAAACGTTTTCTGATGATACATTTAGAACTAATTCTCACTTATCTTCCTGAGGATTTCTCAGTGTTTTAAATTGAAGCATTTGAAAAAATTATTACAACTTGTAATCAAAATTTTAATATTTTGGTTAAAGACTACCCCAGCGCCAAATTTTAAGAGCAATCATTTCTTTGATAAACTAGGATTAAAGATATGCAGTAGTTGCCTGTGTTTTCTACCTGACTGAGTTGATATGTTGTTTGACAGATTCGTAGAGTTGTAGGTCTCTGCTTCGAACTGACTCATTTCTATCTCCTTCAGTCTCTCTGCAAAAGCCTTGTCACGCATCTCTTTGGCTGCCTAAAACGCCACACGGACTCACCTTTTAGAGTTAATGACTCTTGGGCTCATGATTGTACTAGCGTGTCACTACCCTTTACGCTGCATCAAACAGATTGTTGAACCTGGAATATGTTTGGTTAAAATTTTTAAAACCATATGGCAAAGTATGGATAAAATTTACATGAAATGCAACTCCAAAATAAAGGCTGGAGAAATCCAGTGACATTTTAAAACCTTTTTATTAACAAAACTGACAAAAACTATCGAAATTGTAGCTTCCCGAAATTGATTTAACTATTATATTAAGAAAAACACTATTTTTTTCGACTTTTGGGTTTGTTCGTTTGGTAATCAGATCTATACTAGAATTAGGCACTTTTAAACTAAAATTTAACCTAAACTGAAGCATAAACATTTGCAGTTTTTGATCAAACAATTCGGCAAATGACAAGGAGACAGGCCTGATCCAGACAGTGAACTTAATAGGCTATTTTGAGAGACAAAAAACCAAACAGAGCAGAAGCAAGTCAATCAATTTAAAGCAAGTTATTTGCCCAATATTGAATCATTATTTAGTACAGCATTTGGTCTTATTTTCGGTGCTAGAGATTTAGCAGACCGGTTTTTTAGCTGACAGGTTTTTTTTAGCAGACACAGAACAATTTTAAAGTGTGACAGCTAACTTCAAACGCGGCATTGGCGATTAGAGACCGCTTGCTCCGCTGCGCTTCAATTCAACACGAGTGTTATTTTGAGCGTAAATCATTGTTTTGCCGCTAATTTACACTAGTGTTTTTTAAGTTGATAGTTTTGTTGACAAATCGTGAGATAATTGAATTAATTGGGGAAGCCTGGCCCCAGACTGAGCGTCTTTTTGAGTCTGTCAATCAATCATCCATCACTTTATTACGTTGGTCAGCTAAAAGACTCAAATTTCACTTTTTATGCTAAAAGATTTGTCTGCTAAACGATCGGTCCCCCTTATTTTCGTTCGATTTGAGGGCAAGCAATTTGTGAAACATATTCGTTTACGGCCTAATTTGTTCAATTAGCCACCAAAAAGCCTTCAATTTGTTTGTTTTACTTGTTATTAAGTTCACTGTCTAGATCAGACCCGTCTCTTTGTCATTAAACAAAAAAGACAACATTTTTGAAACATCATCTTGAAAAGTATCAAGAAGACAAATTTTTTAAGCACACCTTCAGCACATGTGGTGGTACATTTTGCTTCATCGAGTCAGGCACCTGGAACACCTGGTGTCCTAGATTGAGTCTGTAGGGTCCGCCCACTCCTCCGAGTCCCGCAGTGTCTGCTCCTCCGGATCCACCCGCCCACTGATTGCCACCCACGTGCGGATCGCCTGGAACCCACAAAGTATTAACTGATTAGTCAGTTTTTTAAAACTATAATGTACATACAGACTTATGGAGAAAACATTTAGCTTTTGATATGCTGAAATTCTTCATTCTAAGCATCTGATAAAATAAAATCATGGCTTTTCGTTTCTAGAGCAGAACACAAATCTGAGCCTGGTTTATCAGAAAAAAAGTTATAAATTGCATAAAGTGGTCTGATTTTCATGTTGTGTTTCACTAGTTACCTCAAAAAAGCAACTACAATTTTCCCATTGAACTAACCTTTTGCATCTACTTTGCCATGTTTCGGTCCTGTTGCCTCTCTCTGTGAATGTCGTATTTTGATTGGCTCGTCCTGATGCCCAATCATGTTCACCCACTTCTGATACGACGCCCGCAATGAGTCATAATTAACTTCCCATTGACGCAAAGTACCCCATGGGTCACACGTATAAACATATGAATGACCGTCTGAAGATATAACAAGATTTTGTCCATGCATCGGCGCTAAATATCGCGACATTGCGTGCTCGTATTTATTAGTTGGAATTGGCAAGTATCTAAGCACCTTGGATCGTACGTTGATCCACTCTAGAGACGTTGGATAATCAGCGAGATGGATATCATCGGGCAATGACTGTTTCGGTATAAAACGGGTATCAACTAAAGAAACCGCTGCAAACGAAGGGTTAAGAAATATCGAACTCGGCGAGTTTCTAAGGGTCTCAGATCTTTTGACTCCATACACTTCACCGTCATCCAAATCTGGAAATCCAAGAGAAATTCCGACCTGGGTTCGATCCCCGGTCACCAACTTGGCAGGAGTAACGATGTTCTGGTTCTCCAGGAACTCTGAGACTTGACTGGAATCGAAGTAGCCAGAGCATCTCAAAGTGGAATCGTTAGCAGAATTACGTGATTTATAGACAAATATTTCTTCCTCACTTGAACTTTCGGACTCCCTGGTATTCGGAATGCGAGAAAACTTGATCATTTCGTTTTCTACATTGTACACCGCAAGGTCATCTTCAGAGAGAAACTCTACGTTTCTTATTTCAAATGGAACATTTATTTCCAAAATTTTATCCAAATTGAAATCAAGCACTAGCATTTTTTCGCTATTTGGTTTATAGAAAACTAACTTTGAATTTACAGCTTCGCTGCTAACCATTTTGAATGATCCAGCAGAAACTTTTCCTCTTCTGAAAACAGAACTCATAGCATTTGAAGGTCCTTCATTTGTTAATCGTTCCAAATTCAGAATTTTCCCTTGGTTGTTAGCTGGGTCAACTAAGAGTAAAATATTATTTTGAGGCGAGTAACAAGCAACAGAAAAATTTCCACTACCAATATTCTCTGCTCTCACAAAATTCAGTTGTAAAGTTGTACATAAACTGGTTCGGTCAAAAACCTTGCTCAAGTCGGTACACGAACAAGATGTTTGATTCAAAGTCTGCACGCTGCTTTCAGTCGGAACAAAAAACAATTTGCATGGAAACAACGAAACTGCAAAAACACCAGCTGGACTGTTCATGTTTTCTGCAATTTTAAGCGCTTTCATATCACAAATAGCCGAACTTTTATCGATCGGAATCGATACTATCTTTTTCTGCTCTTGAAAAAATTCTGCTCTCGGCGAATAAGTCTGCATTTTTCTCATTTCTGGTGATAATCTTGTAGAATCGAAATCCATGTTGGTCGCTACGATTTTTTGCGTAGCTGATATTGGATTGTCAATATCGCTTCTAATGACTGATATCTTCTTAAAATCAGGTAGAGGTACTTCTTTGGCCATATGAACTTGAGCTTTTCCTGTAGAAACGGGGATTCCGTTTCTCTTCAAGACTTTGTTCACTTCTGTCAGATTTTGATCATCAAACCCGTCAAAATCGAAAATATTCTGAATAGCTCTTGGAATTCCATCACGTGGGAATTCTTCTAAATGCTTCACAATATTTACAAGTTCACGAGTCGAATACGGATAAGATAATACGCCTTGGTTCGAAAGATCGCGTAGTTCATCGAACGCATCAATAAGCCGAATAACGATTTCTCGATCAACATTAGGAGCATATCTCGTTAACATTTCAATCTGAGAATCTTTTCCTGGATTATCAATAGCATGACATGAAAAAAGGTCTCCCATTGCGGCAAAGAAATCGTTTCCCAAAAACGGGAAACCAGGTCGATTTGCCAAAACAATCATCCGGAAATTTGGATGGCACACAATAATTTTCTCACTACGTTGGTCAAACTTTTCTGGTAGCTTAGCGACTATTTTTCGTCCATCTGACAAATGCATGAACTTATCTTCAACGAGACCTTTCAGAATACTTGTCACGTGTGTGGGTGCTTTGTCAGCCTCATCTACCACTAGGGCATGTCCATTTTTGACAGCTTTGATCAAAGGCGAATCTTCATACACAATTTTGCCATCTTTAACACTAGGTTGAACTGTCAACGCTTGCACTGTTGTATCCCTATGCAACTGTATATACTGTCTTGGTTTCGAAAGTTGGGACAGCATTTTGTCGACTAGTTTATTTTTACCCACGCCTTGATTTCCGACTAGTAAAAGATGTTCTCCGATAGCAAAAGACCTCTTCATGTTTTCTAGAATCTTCGTTTGCTCTTCATTTTCGAAGAACAGAGTTTGAGGAATCAGAGATTCGTCTGTAGCTTCCAGAACTTCCGTATCTTTCGAAAACAAAAACGGACTATCCAATTTTTCACTTCCACTCTTTTTGGGCAGTGTAGTGAAGTTTTGCTGTTGGATGAATTCTATGAATGCTTTTTGAGGCAAAGGTGGCAAAAACTGAGGCATAAATGCACTTTCGACTGACTTGCGAACATCAATGGTAGAATCGTCTGAAATTAACTTCAGCAAGCGTTTTACTTGCTTTGTAGACAAGCAACCCGATAAAGCTTGCAAATTTTCGTCTTTTGATTTTTTCAATGAAGTTGAAAATGAACAAATTTCCGATATCAGTTTAGGATCAACACTCGGATATAGTTCCGTAAACAAGTTAATTTGCTCCGAATTTTCGATTGCGTTCACCATGTGAAAATGAAACATGCTCAAAATTTCTGAATTTAGCCAATTAACTCCACTTTTTAAGTTCGGAGGTTCCGCTAAAGCTAAGATCCTAAACTCTTCTGGGATTGCAAAGACGCCTCGTCTGTTTAACTGCTGATTATCTCTGTTCATTTTCTCTTGCAGTAGTTCAAACTTTTGCTTCGAAATTAGTTTTGCTCCATCAAATAGAGTAACTTCTCTATCGTGTACTAAACTCTGTATCGCTGGTAACGTGTCTTGTTCAACGTGGTGCAACCCGTCCAAAATGGCAATTTTTCCTTCTAAGGCCGCGTCTATGAGAGGCGAATTGTTCCAAAAGGTATCTCCGTTAGGTTTAGTTGACCTTTGCTGGAGTATGTCACGTGCTGTGATGTCGTTGTACAGCATGAATGTCTCGACCTGCTGACCTCTTAGATGAGCGAAGTGTCTTGCTACTATTGATTTTCCACTTGATTTGGGTCCAACAAGGCAGAGATCTGATCCCATAGCGAAGCTCCTGGACATATCTAAATTCATGTTTTCGGTTTTGAACGCACTTTAAGAAAACACTAGATCTTATAACTCGTACATGCCATTGTTCCTAGAGGCACGCTCAACTTTTCTTTTTAAATTTTTCTCAACTAGAAAACACATTTCTTAACACAGAGAAAGCTGAGCGTCGCACCACTTGCGATACAAAAATGAATGACTATAATTAAAATCAAACGGAAAAAAAATGTATAAAAACTTCAAAAAATCATTTTTGTCAAAAAAATTGCAATTAAAGACCATAATGTCCGGAACAAAATTACCTGCACCAATAAAAATTACTTGCAGCAAAATTACCTGCACCAATAAAATAAAAATTTTACACTGAGCTTTCAAAATAGTAGAAAGGAGCCGAAAAAAAAGTTCGTTCTGCAAAAGCTAAGCCGGCAGATACAAACAGACGGACGAATAGTCTGAAAAAGCACATCTCTAATTCCCGGCCGGACTCAAACCACTATCTTTTGCCGTATCAAGCAGTTGTGTTACCTCTACGCCAAAAGCACCTGATGATTGATTGAAACAGAATAAGTTACAATGCGGTAACAATGTCGCAAATACTTAAGCAGAAATTTTTCATGCCGAAAAAATGCTCAAAAAACTCTAACTAAGAAACTTTAGGTCCCCTTTCTCCTCGAAACACAAAAGCACACACGAAAAAAACTTCGGCTATAAAACTACTCAATAAGAGGCCACTAAATCGATATTAATTAGGCCACAAAATAACCTATTAAGCCGAAAACAAAATGAATTTTGAAAAAATCGAGTTGATAAAATTTGATAGAAACAAATTTCGATTACACCGGATATTTCAAATACTAACAAGTCCCAGTAGATTGAGCCCAGGAAGTGAATCCTGTTAACAAAGTATCTCAAGGGTAATTATCACAAGGGTAATTAACGCAAGGGTAAACAGATATTTAAAAAAGTGATGACAGCATTCAAAATTTCATCCTGTCAAACACATCGTTAAATCAAGAATATAGCCAACATGCAGCATTGAAGTTACATTGAACTCTAGGAGACCAAGAAAAATTATTCGAATTTCCGAGGAAAAAATCATCTTTTCAAAGCTCTTTAAATTTCAAAAATCATTTATAATTGACAATATTTCAATAAAAAAAAATTACTGATAACTGGGTCAATCGGCAATCTAATAACTAAAATTAGAAGTTGCAATTCGAATACACAAGCAAAAATATGACCGATAACGCTACTGGGAAAAACTGAATGAGTAAGACTTTAAGTATACAATATTTCTCAAGTGATGCACGCCAATTAAGAGCCTGCATAATTGCTAAGTGAAGCAGCCAATTATGACGCATTAGCAGTACCAGTCATCTTGAAAAAAAAAGAAAATTACCAACTAACATGCCTCAATTTATAGAGTGGACGCATTTTAACTAGTAGACAAAAAGTTCATAAAAAAACATCCGACCATGCCCAGGTTCGAACCCTCTTATTTTGTTGCGGTTCTCCTTCCCAACCTCTACGCTACAGATTCATGATACCTTGAAGCTAAAGCGCTATTTGTAATATAATAGTCTGTAGATAATAGCTGGTTATTGATCAAAATGAACACTTTCAAAATGAACACATTTTGTCGCAACGATACTTGCGTCGCAACAATATTAGCGAATTGGGTTTAAAAAAAACAGAGTTCATACTATCACACAAGCTTTGCTTGAGTAAATAACTTGTGATTGATGTTTTTCGATAAAATTAACCCAATGTGAAGAAAACTGGATCAATAAGTAAATTTTTTATGTCGCTGGAAAAACTGAAAAATAAATTCCATTACCGAAACAAGAAGCCGATCACGTTTTTCGACACTTCACACTTTTGTTGTTCAATTGTGGAGTTTTCCTTCATTTTAACAAAGAAAATGAACTAATATAAATGAAATCAAAAGTCAAACCGCGAAAACGTCACTTTGAATATGAACAATTTTTAAGACTTTTCCTGAAAAAAATTATCACGATTTATATAAGAGTCTGAACTACATTCATCTACTCTTAAAAAAAATCAAAAATAAAACTGTGAGAAAGCAGATTTGAGCTCAAGCAAAATTAGAGACTTTTGCACGAAACAACCTACAGGGCCTCACGAATTATCAGAACTACGTTCATAAAAATTCTCAAATCTTGTCGAACTTCAACCAACCTTGCAATAGTTCTTCATGTTTCTGATTCGGAACATAATCCTCAGAAGTATTTTGAGCTCGACTTGCCGCCTCCCTATACCCAGGTTTCTGATTGGTCGATTCCGGTTCGGTTGGAATTACACACTTCTTTACTATGTCTTCCACCTTTTTCTCAACTTCTTTTGGGAGAAGTTTATGCGGATACACCAAAAACAACAACTTGTTCACGTCAATATTTCTTCCAAAATGATTTTGAGCTTTCACCAATGACGTAAGAGCCATTTCAGGGAAGTGTGGTACACCTAAACTTGATGATTCTGGCGAGTTTATAATTTGAGCGTACGTCAACATTGCAGAAACATCAGTAGAAGACAGTTCTTCCGATTGAGACGACATAAGTTCAAACATTTCATTGAAGGGTAGTGCTGTAATTTTACGGGACTGAAATCTGGATCGAATCGGAGGGTCCAGGGGGTTACCTCTAAATTTGGGTACTGGAAGACCCAAAGCTATGACTCTGAAGTTCTCATTAACTCGTTCCAGTTTCTTCGATTTGAGCTCTTCCTAAATAAATAAATTTAAATTCAATTCTGTATCTTAACTTTGACACAGCATCAGATAATTCTGCGAAAACCAAGAACTTCGACAAAATTCCATCTCTGCTGACATCAACCTTCAATCATATAAAAATGAGGCACATGATAAATTACCACTCTTATGGTTCTCCTAATTCTCCAAGTTGATCGAAAACAAAGTTCAAACTCTTGCCTTGCTATATTTCTGGAGCAATTGATCGTATCTCTGTGGTGCCACCAGGAACCTGCCATCGTCCAATTGCATTTCTCTGTTTTCTAAAAGATTGTTCAGAATGGGCAGAATATTCCTCTCCGCCTTTTCAACTCCGTCAACCAGTAATACACTGCCGTTGAGAGCCGCCTTGAAAAAAAAATAAATGGCTGATCAAAGTTCATACTTGCTTATTCAAAAAAATTGTTCCACTTCCAATATAGTGACAGTCTCAGTACTCATTTGTTCCATAACGATAACAATAAATTTTCGTATCATTACAAAAGTTCAAACTTTTCAAACACCTTCGCCAACTTTTTATCAGTTTTTCATCTCATCACAAGCAGCCAAGTTGTTTCAAAAAAACTTACCTTGACAGCAGACTGATCTACATAAACAGTCCTTCCATTTTCGATCTCTCGTCTCTGTTTGATGTCACTCTCGGTCGTGTCTCGGGTAATGACGAGGTACTCCACCTCTCGGTTGGTCAACTCGGCGTAGTAGAGTGCCACTCGGCGTCTCAGTGGACCGGGTGATCCGAGGAGGAAGACGTCTTGGCCTAAGGAGTCTTTCTGTGCCAGCCATCTGGGAACAACTGCCAACATTAACTGAACTGGTCACTATATAAGAGCGTATTTTTTAAGATAATTTAATCTAGCAGACGAAGTTAGCAATGTAAGGAATTTTTTTTAGTAAGGAGTTAGTTTTTTTTTCAGACAAAATCTGAAACCGATACCCCAAATGAATTTCGATTAGGGTCAAGTGAGGTTTATTTCAACCAATAAAGGCTTTCTTCAACGCATCAAAAGCCCATCTGCTCCACCTCCATCATCAATGTTGTATCATCGTACTAATTGGTTTACTGATTTAGTTTATTACTCGTTGTGGATAAATAACTTCTTTGATTGTTTTAAAAAACAACAATATCGCAGATACTGATTGTTAATTGGAGTCTGAATGCTTCTCACCTTAGATGTCTGTTGATGAAATCGCTCTCAATCGGAAATGCTTGTCCAACAGGCACCTTCTCCGGTCTCGCCGACTCTTGCACTTCAACCTTCACATCTGCCGTAAAATACACGAAAAATAAACATGATCAGTTATTGATGCTTCGGTATTAAACATTCGAACAATGTAACTAATTAATCGATTCCTTATGGCCGCATTAGTTGATTTTTTAAAACAAATTGAGCTCCTAATAATCATAATATATTGTTTTCTGGTAGAAATTATACAAAAATTCACAAAATGATACATGACACTTTAGTAAACTTACAATTGCCTGGGAGATAACCATTGGATCTATAGATACTTTGGAGTCCCTTTAAATAACAAAGGCACCATTTTCAAACTTATTTTCCGAACTCACAGAAAGGCCAGGAGTGAAAAAATTGCAGTGCATGATCAATTAAACATTAAACCAAAAAGAGTCATTTTAAGTACCGTTGAAATGGATGTAGCTGGTGCATCTCAAATGTTGGTGACTACCTCTCCTGCCCTTGCTAACCGAGCCCCTCAGAAGTCTGTCTCTGAACTTCCACCCTCGAATCATAGTCTGAGTTAATCCTGAGACGGTGAAAAGTATATTCTGTCATTGGGTTAATCTGGAGATCATCTTGAAATCAAAAGATATCTGAAAGATATCTTTGCATCTTGGCTGACTGAATAAATAGTGCCGCTTTTAAAACACGTGTTGTCAAGTCAAAACCCACTTCGTTCATGGTCTGAGCGCATTCACAACTTCATCCGCTTTGGCGAAACGTTTGACAACCCTGCCCGCCGGATGATCCGCATTGGGTGGGCCGCGAGAAAATAGAAAAAACGATGTCTATTGTAGACACACCCATTTGCGAAGTCAAAACAAAGCCAACAATCTGTTGGAAGTGGAAAACTGTGAATGAGATCTAGTTAACAGAAAACATTTAATTAAAATCCAAGTTTCGATTGTCGGAGAAAAAATTCATCTCGCTCTTTCATTTTCAAAATCCTTGGATAATCGACAACTTGTTTCAAAAAGATAACCCCTTTGATCAGAAGATAAGTTTTTAAATATATTCCTGTTTGAAGTAACGTTTTGACAATTGAGCTGCAGTAATGGTTCAAGAATATACTCTACAGACAGTTGGAAAAGTGTCAATTAACTAATTGAAAATAGTTTAAAACGTTTATGAACACTTTTCAATCTCCTGAGAAGAAACTTTTTGAATTTCCAGAACCTTTCATGTTCCAGATTCTTTCATGACTAACTTTATTTCTATCATTGACAAAATATGGTTCAAATATTCCCTCAGACTTTTTCGGAGGCTGTAGACAGTGATGTAAAGTAAAAAGAGAGTAGGAGATTGAGCATACACACAGGGGAGCTGGCGGTCTTTCCAACGATACCTGTTTTTGACAAATCTGTACTGTAGTTTTTGATAAAAACTAAAACTTTCCAAAAAGTCAAAAAAAATTCAAAGTGTCTCAAAAAACAATAAAAAACCCAATTCCATACAATTTCATAACACCTGTTTTTATCAAAAGAAATTCTAGGAAAACACGCCAAGCAAGTCAAATGAGCAACGGAACAAGAAATACGAAACAAAGCCGACAATCTTTGAGCAGAAACTAGTCGATCCAAAAAAAATACATCAAAACCAAATCTCCCTGAAACTATAACGAACAACGCTTGCAACCGCCATGATACCTAACTACAGCACAACAAAAATCCCTGATGTGGCAATTATTCCGACGAAACCTGAACAGACAAACGAACGTGCTACAATTCATTTTTACCTAAATAAAAAACTTTCAATATCATACTTACTGAAAAAAACAAAGTCCTGCCGCGACTCGAACCACATACCTTAGGATGCAAAAGCTACCGCGATACCTCCAGTCCAAGTGGAAAGGAACCTGGAGTTGTTAATGTTCAAAATGGAAGTAAGTGCAATTTCTTGTAAGAAAAGTTGTTCACAGGGAAAAAAGTCTGGTCCCCGACTAAAAGAGCAAAAATAAAAACTGAACCTGAATGTTTTCTTTTTAAAAAATTCCCTAAAAAACTACCTATAAAGTGTTTCCAGCTCAATTATTGAGATTTGGAAAACTGTAGAGCGAGCTTCGATTTTTAACAAAATTAGATGCGGTCGAGTGATATCTGAGCAAAGGGAAGAAGCAGAGCTTCGCAACACTTTCGATACAAACAATATATCCCATCACGCTACAAGATGGTGAAGACAAAAAGAAGGAAGCCGAAAATTAAAAACATTACTTGAAAAAAGGCAAAATTTGACACCTTCACCTCAAAATAAAAATCAAAAACAACCTTAAACAGCCATTTAACTGAGTTTGCCTTCCTTTTAACAAATCAGAAGACAAATCGAAACATCAAATCGAAGCGTGAACAACTTTTTGCAGAGGCGAAGCCAATCTTCGCGCCATTTGCGATACCACATAGACACAGCACTGCAAACTCGCAGGCCGAAAAAGAAAGGAAAGCCAAAAACTCGAAAGCACGTAGCCAACAGAAGATTTGAAAAATCAAATAGAACAAGAATGATTGAAAATTTTCAAACAATATTCAACTTTCGAAACTAGATGAGGTTAAAGCGCTTTGAGTTTGAAGAACTACTCATGATTGGCACCTTTTTTAAATAACCCAACCCATTTTTAAAACAACATGGTCCCCGTTATTGGGTCCAACCCCGTAAGGCCGAAAACAAAACAAAAATACAAGAAAATACTTTGCCTTCGAGACGGTACAATATAAGATACAACAGGATATGAGCCGAATGAAATTAGAACGAAAGCCACCAATCCGAACAAATTTCTTCATCTTTTTTTTTCAATAAGTATATTTGAAAAATTAATATTTAGTAGCTACGATGATCTACATGGTAGCTTTATTTGACAGCTCAAGAAAGCGAGCAAGCCAGCGCAGCCAGCATTTGAAAGTAACTCTAGCAGTATGGTTACAGTAAAAAAAAAGCAGTCTAGTTTCCCATTACACGTACAATTGCTCTCGTAAGTGAAATTATATTTCGGTAAATCTCTTAAATTTAAAGTTACAGCAATGAAACAAAAAGACTTTTCACATGATTAAGTGTACTGAAATCACTGGAAATGGCAATGAAGCCGACACAAATATGCAAGCATTAATTATAATGACAATTTTTGTTTAAGCAGAAAATTGTTCGGAGTTTACAAAAAGAAAGAACTCCTGGCTGGATTGGAACACGGGATCTTTGCCGTCTCAAGCAGAAACGTTATCGCTTGACCAGATGAGCCGAACAAGGCATGGAATTCTAATTTACTTTGAAGATAAAATTCGAAAGTATCAATGATTCTGTTACACAAGTTACATGCATGAAAAAAGCTACAATCCGAAAAGATTACGCTTGATAAAGGCAAGTCTGAAAACAAAAACATTTTCAATCCCAGTGCACTTCGAAACATCAAGTTGGATTACAACCCAAGCGTAGCATTGCAAGTTGGCGAATAGAAAATGAAACGCAAAAAACTAAGTAAAAAAAATTATTTCAATTGAATTGTTATAGCATTTAATAGACTTTTGTATTTGCCGAGCGATAACTCAGTCGACAGTATGTGGGGAGACCGTATGTTGGCAACAACAAAGTGCCAGAAATTGTCTGTCTATGCGAGAGTTCAATACATCATTTATAAGCATCTCAGGGTCTAGATTAGGCTTTAAATTAATTTCAAACTAATATACAGAAGCGAAGCAGAGCTTCGCGCCACTTGCAATAAAAAATGAAAGATTGTTTCTACTAGTAGATGAACCGACATATGAAAAAAAAACGGCATCTTTAGAAAACTTACAAACAGAGGTGAAGCAAAGCTTCTCATTACATGCAATACAACACATACATATCATGCCAAACTAACCGACAGAAACACATTGAAAGCCGGATAAAATATAATTTACCCAGGACACTACGCCATAAAAGCTGATATCAAAGCCAAAATCGTTTAATCCAAAAAAACAACAAAACAAAACTATTCAAAATCAGACTGGTAAATTATATATTTAAGTTATAGTAAAAACTGTTTTAATCAAACTAAGACCTATGCTTTAGATAGTCAACCGATAAAAAAAAACCGTACCAGATAACAAAAACGGTATTTATCATAACGAAAAATGACCCTGCGAAAAGTAGAACAACACGAGTCCAAAAAAAATTCATAAATTTTCAGAAAAAAATAGTTGAAAGCTATAAAAAAATATTAGGACACCACATCAAGAGAACCTCAAATTACCAACTTCTGAGCATAGCATTTGTACGCGCCAGAAAACTCTAAATTGAAGCTCAATAAACTTCAAAAGTCTAGAAGACGCAGCGGCACGTACGGACTACTTTCTCTAGAATTAGGACGCACCACCAGTCGGTGTATAAACTAACATGAAGCTGAACTGACATAAAAGTTTTACTATTGAAAATCGCATCGACTAGCATAAGAACCACTAAAATCAATTATTGTCAAAATTAAAACTTATACACTAACGAAATCATGTAAATCAGCTTTTCTACATATTTAACTATTTGCGAAACGTTAAGTGTTGGGTACAAGCCATTACAGGTCGTAACGGTTCATACTATTACAGGTGTGATTGATGAATATTCATGTATTGAGCGATTTCATATTGTTTGATTGCTTAAATTTTCAATTGCTCAAAATTCTATATGGGGACCGATCGTTTAGCAGACAAATCTTTTAGCATAAAAAGTGAAAAATGAGTCACAGTTATGAAAAAGTAAACACAAAACGCCTGTGATCTCTAACATTCGGGGAAAATTGACAGAAGTAAAAATCGACAGAGGTAAAATTTGCCTTGAGATTAGACGCTAAAGCCCGTTTCAAACGATTTCGACTGCAAGCTGCCAATAAAAAACATGCAAACGCAAAAGGAGAAGACCGTCTTTCAGAAACTTCAATATTTCTAGATGGAAAGCGGTTTCTGGCTTTGCCATGAGAAAAAAAACAGCTATTCTCAGCAGTCAACTGTTATCGAAGCTGGTTCATCGCCTAAACGTTTATAGATAGCCTAGAACATTTTTATTAGGCCTATACAGCTCACTCAATTCAACCTGTCCATTTAACTACCTGGCATTTCCAACGCCATTGCATTTTAAACCTTGATAGAAAATCATCACCCAAACTTTCAGACCTCCGACTATTTGAAATGATTAACTACTTCAATGATTACTCAATTTAAAAGGAATCGAAAGGTTAGATTTGACAAAACTCAAAGTACATGTTGAAGGTCTATTTTTAAAGACTAGGCGAGTTTCTTAAACCAAAGCCGCACTCGAAGTCTCAAAAATTGGATTTGAGTTCGGATATCTCGAAAATTCGGACAGAGCTTAGTTTTGCGTAGTTGCATTCTAGAAAGAACGTCAATGCAAGTAAGCATGACATCTTCGGACGAACAGAAATTTTTGTATGTTCAGCCGCTAGTTAAAAGGAGATTGGCTTTTTGAAAGCTATCGCTGTCGCTATGTTTATGTGTTATATAGCAAACTATTTTCGGCTGCGTTATAATCAATATATTATTCAATTGAGCAAAACAATTCCAGCCATGCTTAAACAAAGTTTACATGTTTAGGAATTAAACGCTTTCTCTACATGTT